GGGGGAGAGGGGTCGCAGGTGGGGGCTGTGAGGGCCATGGGTGGGAGGCGGTGAAGGGGATTCAGGTGGGGAGTGGAGTTTGGGTTGGAGTGGGGGGTGGCTGAGAAGGAGGGGTGGGCGGGGGTGAGTGGTGGCGGTTGTGAGGGTGGCAGGGGAAACTGAGACATTCTGCATTGGGCCTTGTGTTGTCTTTTGGAACACCTTGGCCTTGCTCCAGCTGAGGGTATTTCTCAGTTTCTGTCCTTAAGTTTGTTCCAGAGGGTTCGTTCTGGGTTTTGCTGTTGTGCGTCTTCCTGGTTGAGTACAGTTGTGTCTTCCTGCTCTTCGGGCGGTGACTTTCCAGGCCGCGCAGCCTCCCAAGCCACTGGTACCCTCACCATTTCGGAGGGAAATATCATGGCAGTCGGATATTTCCCCCCGCGGGCTCTAGACCCAGGCTACTTGGATGGGTAGCTTTCCTTCTAACCCTACCGGAACTCTAAATTCATTCCGGCCTCTTAAGGTACTGACTTCTTTTTTGGCGACAATTGGGAGCGAGGAAGGCGGGGGGACGGGCGGAACGCCGGGCGTAGGAGCGCTCCGTCGTGCGCTACCAGTCCGGGAGAACCGGTGCCACTGTCACCGAGCCCAGCACGCGGCTGGATTCGGGGAAACCGCCGAAGCCTACCCGTCCATAGCCGGGTCAAACCCTTTCTGAGAAGGGGGAGGAATGGAGGTGGGCTAGTGGTCGAGAGCCAAGAGTCACACACACCTTAATGAGTCAAATGAGAATGAGACGTGGCGCCATGTGGTGCTAGCGTCTGTGATGTGGGAACATTAACCAAGTCGTAGGAAGGACAGCGGTCCTTAGGTTGGAGAGTTCGACGATAGAACGGTAGGTGGGAGAGAAGAAAGGAGACAACTCGCGAAGAAGGAAATCAACGTGTAAGGAGAACAGGGAGAGTTATATGTAACAGCGTGCATGAGGCAGTCAGGACTAGGGGGGTGGAGAACAGAGGTGGGAAGAAAATAGGAGTGGAATAGAGGGTGTTCTCATAAGGCTCCGCCGCCCCAATCTGGAAGAATTATGAACACGTCAACCCCCCACCCCCCTCCAGCGGGAGGATCGGGTGGTGGAGAAGCGTCCTTATCGGCGGAACATGTAGGAGCGGATGATCCGAACAGACTCAGGGCACTGTTGGACTTGTGCTTCGATGATGGCCTATTTCCGGACACTAATATCGACTTTGGAGAGACAAAAATCATCGATGGGATTGGATACCTGTCACTCAATCAGGAAGTTGACACAGCAACGGTCAACTGGCTAAAAGCCAGGACGGTGATTGTCTTATTTGACGAACCGGCGATGTCTCTAAGCGTAGCCCAGAGAGAGCAGTTAATTAGAGTATACGAGGGGGCATGGTACCAAGAAGTGGACATCAACCCAACACAAAAGAGAGGAAGGACGCATGGGGAGGGTCCAAATGTCTCATCGTACGTGGCTAGAACGGAGAGGATAGCCCAGTGGCTGACTGCCAAAGGTGAGGATAGAATCCCGACAAGGAATGGGTCGGTCAAAGTCCGTTTTAAACCGTGGATGACAAGGCAGGAATTGGACGTGATAAGAGATAACAAGGCAGCAGGAAAGTTCAGGATTATAGCGTTGAGAGTTCCCCTTGAAGCCCTACCTTCGCTTAGGTTTGCGGTTCAGCGATTTATGGGAAGAGTGTTGGTGATGCACCCCCCGGAGAGAAGAGCGGACGAACCTAGGTTGGGGAATATCCGAATTGACTGTGTATCGGAGGTTAGGCAGACCTTCCTCGAGTGGATCGTAGTGAGGAAATCCACAGGAGGATTTGTCGAAGTACAATTCGCAAACCAAGATACCCCATTCTGCAACAAATGTCTGTGGTGGTATCATGACGAGTTTGATTCGGAGTGTCCTAGGTTTAGCGAACCAATGCCGGAAGAGAGAGGCGGCAGACGGGCTAGGGGGAGAGGGGCGAGAGGTAGAGGAAGAGGAAGTGGCCCGAGAGGACCTCAAGGGCAGCCAGTTGGAGGAGGGCATAGCATTGGACGAGGAAGGGTAAATCAGCAAGGGAGAGGGGGTCCCCCGAATCAGCATGAGAGTCAGCCAATGTCAACCACAAGTGAGCTAAACCCGAACTCGAGAGCCTTAGTGGTTTACTCATCAATGGCGCCGACGGAGACGGTAACAGAAAGGGGAACAGGAACGAGCTACCGTCCCTTGTGCATAGGTACAGAATCAAGACAGGCAGAAGAGAGAGGGGCCCCTGTGCAATCCGCAGGAAACGTGCAGATGAGGACTAATCAGCCAACTTACCCCCAGCCAGTGATGACGGTAAGGCCTCTACAGAGGGGACAGCCGTTGGCCCTAGGAGCTTCAGAGAACAGAGTGGAAATTGGGGGTGGGGTGGCCCCTTTCCCATTTATTCCACCTCCCATCCTTCCGACTCACCCGTGGTCTGGGCAGGATCGGGGCACAATGCAGGGCACTTGGTGCGTTCCGGCGAATCCGATTGGGGGTGGATTGCCTTGGCATCCTCCCCCGATCACGATGGAGAACAGGCCGCTACCCGGAAGCCCGGCCAGGTGGGGGACAGGACAAGGAGGAGCAGGGAGGAGTATTGGGATGGCGACTGGTTTGGTGGAGGGGTGGAGAACGGCTCCGGAAGGTGCACAGAGACAGGGAGGAGTGAGCAACTTTCAAGGGTGGAATCAGGGCGCATCCCTTCTCCCAAGGACATCAGGTTAGCAAGAGAGTTCCCAGACCCTTATTGGACAAGAAGGGACAGTGGGTCAACACGCCCGAACCCAAGCCGAAGGCCAAACAACAGGACATCAATCCTTCGTAGCCATAAGGATAAATCCAGAATTTGCCCTCGAAAACCAAGAGGAAGAGGCTGTGATCTTGCACTGATCAGGCCAAGGGAAAATCGGGTAATTAACAGTGGGAGAGATGGGGGAGGATCTGGAGAGGAAGTCAGACCAACAGACCGGGGGGAAATTAGGGGACTGCCAGACAAGATAATGAGGGATCCAGGCAGTAGGTCATCCTTGTTAACCCCAATCAAAACGAGAAGAGTGGGAGAATCAGGGAGTGCGGAACCAACAAGGGAAGGAGAAGATGGGGAAGGTGGAGGGGAAGAGCGAGAGGAAGAGTTCTTTAACATCACCTCACCTCCGGCCCAAAGAGGCAGCCTAGGCGAAGCACCAGTCCCGAGGCAACGAGGGAAACAGCCTGCCATTGCGGGAGGGCAGGGGGGACACCAAGGTATCCATTACGTGGTCCTAGTGTGTTCCTCCCTAGCCCCCCAAGGGATAAAAATCATGGTAGGAAAGTCAGAATCAGGTGGCCTCGCCCTTCCAACACTTCAGGTGAACCAGTTTCCGAGCTCGAAGGAAGTGATTAGGACAGTTGCACTGAAGTTCGCAGCAGGAAGGTTTCCTCTCAGGCTCATCTCCGGAATCAGAATCGGCCGAAAGATGGTGGAAACAGAAGTTGGCTCGGTGTATCATTTCCATAGAGTCATGGTGGATGTCAGGATTTCGGCGGAAGTAGCAGCAGCCCTGGAGGCGGAAGGAGTACAGTGGGTTCCTCCACAATGGTTTGACTCCAAAGTCTCGCAAGAAGCGACCAAACTTCAGTTGGTGGGAGAGGTCAAGGCGGAAGTCGTGGCAACCTTTTGTGGCTCGCTACCAGCAGATAAGCAACCCTTGGAGATTTCATTCAGGACTCTTCTGACCCAGCCATGGGAAGTCCAGCAAGAAGGGGAAGGTAGGAGAAGGAAGGGAGGCAGCAGATCAACGGTAGAAGAAACACAGATCCAACCAACAACCGCGCCGAAAATTAGTGATGGATAAAGTTCAGATGGCAGCATGGAACGTCCGGGGGCTGGGTGATACAACAACAAGGCACAAGAAATCAAGATTGAAAACGTGGATCCACAAGGAACGAGTGCAAGTGGTTTTCCTTCAGGAAACTAAGCTGGATGAAGATAAGATCAACCAGATCAACAGATGGTGGCGTGGGCCACAATGGTGGGCCCCGGCGGATGGGACTAAGGGAGGAACGGCCATCCTGATCTACAACAGCTTGGAGATGGAAATCTTGGAGAGTGCACATGACATTTGGGGACAATGGGTATGGGTCAGACTGCGGATGGCGGGACAGTTGTGGGTCCTGATGTCCATTTATGCCCGAGCGACACCAGGGGAGAGAAGATCCTTCATCAGGGACCTACCAAATGTAGTCCCTGAGGCTGACCACATGGTCATTGCAGGAGACCTGAATACGGTCCTGAGGCCTGGATTGGATTCTCCTACGCCCGGAACAAGAAGGGAGGATGTCGTACTATTGGAACAGTTCATGGCCACTTACGATCTGAGAGATTCCTTCCGCTGCACCCATCCAGAAGCGCAGGAGTTTACGTGGTGTTCATCCCAGCGAAATGGGGATAGAACACCTTCGAAGCGCAGACTAGACTTAGTGCTGGTCAAAGGGGAAGCTTGGGACACTGGAGATAGTGCCACATCCTATGTCGGATCATTGGCCAGTGAAAGCAGTCTTCAGAGTGAGGACAAACTGCCGAAAGGAAAAAAAATATTTTCAGCTAAATACCGAAAATCTGAAGAACCCGACGGTTCTCGAATGGTGCAGCAGACACTGGGAGGACTGGGAAAAGACAAGATCTTGGTTTGACTTGGAAGAGGACTGGGTGCAAGTCGGCTTTCGTATGGTGACTAGAGCTCTAGACATTTTTTCTAAAATTCTAGCCAAAGAAAGACGCAACGAGGAAGACGAATGCAGGGAAATGGTGCAAGAGGCAGAACAACAAATAGGGAAGGACCCGTACACAGATATGTACTGGGAGCGTCGCAGAGATGAATGGCTGCGCAAATGGGACCTACTGCAGGTGGAACAGTAGGAAGTCTGGGTCAAGAGAGCGAAGGAGCGCGACTTGATGCAGTTGGACCGAATGACAAAGGAAACATTCAAGCGGTTGTGTCCTCCCCGGTCACACGGGATTATCAGAGCGCTGAAGCATCCTTTCAATGCACAGGCTGATCTGGCAAAAGACACAGAGACGATGGCCGACCATGCACTGGAGTACTACAGTGACATCCTGACTTCGAGAAGGCCCCCTGCGGAGGCATTGGCAGTAATGAGACAGGAGGCAGATCTCGGGAGCAACACAGATAAAAGACTAGAGTCGAACCAACGGCGACTATTGGACCGCCCATTAACACTCCAAGAGTTGCAAGAAGCGGTGAAGAGCATGGCAAGAGGGAAAAGCCCAGGAGACGACGGACTACCGATTGAGTTCTATGAGGCGACATGGAGTTAGGTTGGACCAATCCTGCTAAAACTCTTCAACAACATTTTGGAGGGAGGGTGCCTAACAGAGGACATGTGCAGGGGGACAATTACTTCGCTCTACAAGAAGGGGGACAAGCAGAATGTCAGGAACTGGAGACCCATTTCGCTGCTTAATGTCTCATACAAGATCCTCACGAAGGCTCTCTCAAGGAGACTGGCGAAGATTCTCCCAGATCTAGTGCGGGCGGACCAGGGCGTATTTGTAAAGGGGAGGTCAATTGCGGAGAACATCTTAGTGGCAATGGGGGCTTTGGAGGTGATCAGCAAGGAGAAGAGGCAGGTTATGGTCGCTATGCTAGACTTAGAGAAAGCATATGACCGCGTTAACTGGACATTTGTTCTGGCCACGCTGGAACATATGAATTTTGGAGCCCCCTTTCGTAGTTGGATTACTGCAATGTACTGTTATTCCACAGCCACAGTGTTGGTAAATGGTAGGCAGTCACAAAACTTTGAGTTGTCACGGTCATTGAAACAAGGTTGTCCAATGGCTCCATTACTGTTCGTGCTGCAAACGGAAGTTCTGTTGAACTCCCTCTGTGCAGCGCCTTTGAAAAAAGGAGTGAAACCGAGAGAGGACGTGGAAGTGCTCATAGGAGCAATCGCAGATGATCTTTTGTTAATTACAGAGGCAACAAAAGAGTCAATGTCCGAAGCATAAGCACTGCGGGACCAGTACTCAGTTCTATCTGAAGCCAGAGTCAATTGGGATAAGTCACTATACTTCTTACCATCGGAATTTGACATACAGGAGGACTGGACGATGAAGAGGATCCGATTCGATGAAAAGGAGTCTGAGAGATACCTTGGTGTGCAAGTTTCATTGACCAATAGCCGTCCTGCACAGGATGCTATTCTGATAGGGCGAGTGGAAGCTAGTATTAACAAATGCAAAGCAGCCCCGGGCATATCTTTGATGGGCCGGGCAACGGTGATAATGGCGGTGGTCTTCTCTCTGCTCTGGCATATAGCAGCAGTCCTCATAACGAAGCCCACAATTCGTAGGGTGAAAGCGGCGGCGGCCAAATATCTGTGGAAACCACGTGCGGAAGAACGGGAAGGGTATATTAGCAAGGTGGCATGGGATAAAGTGGTCAAGCCTAAGGAGGAAGGGGGTTTGGGTATAGTGGATCCGGAAAGACAGAATCTGTCATTACTGGGAAAATGGATAATGAAGGTGGCAATGCAAGCGGAAAGGAGGAATTGGTTGGAGATAGTGTTGCATATTTTACAGCAGGAATTTCAACTCGGCAGATCGGAGGATGGCTGGACCAGCCTTCACATGGCCTCCTTTGGCAACCGCAGACCAAGATCGACCGTCGGATTGGCGTGGTGGATTGCATGGAGGAAGTTGAAACCGCAGAGCTCACCCCCGCCGTCAGTCAAGGAAGAAGTGCTGACTTAGACCTTATTTGACAATGAGAGAATCCTGAAAGAGGATGGTCTTCCCTTCTCTGTGGCAGCTGCACCAAGGATAAACTTCGGAAGGAAGTGGGTGGAAAGGGGTATCGCCAAGGTGCAAGACATATGGGTGGAGGAGAGAAAGGGGTGGACGACTGAAAGTGAAGTCCCGGTCCATTTGGGAAGACTGAGAGCGGTGGGTGAAAAATTGACAGCTCTGACTGCGGCCATTCCACTAGACTGGAGGGAAATGCTAAACACGGGTGTACAGCCCGTAAGAGAGGCATGGTACAAAGAAGAATCAGCTGATGGAAGGGCAGATACCTGCTACAGAATAGAGGAACAACGGGGAGAAGGGGAATGGAGAGTATCCAGATGGACTAGACAGTCCCCGGAGGTGGTCGAAGGAAGACTGATAAGTAGCGGGGAGGACCAATTTTCTGACTTCCAGAATTGGAAAATGATCAGAGTGATCAGCATGGGATGGAAGGATGGAAGAATGGATTGGAGGGTAGTTCAGAGTGGGGAAGAAATCACAAAACTCCGACTTGACCCGGCTTTGATCAAGTGGGAGGAGATTGGCCCAAACAAGAATACACTAGCTCACTACTCCTCCGGAATGGCAGGGAAGATTTTGAGTTCCTCAAAGTCCTACGTCTCAGAGATCAAGGAGCGGGCTACTAGAACTCTCTCCCTCCAGTCCCCTCCATCGGAAAGGTCGATGAAGGTCTTCTGGTCACAGCTCTCCTTGCTTCCCAGCATTGAACTCTCCGGTCTATTGTGGCTACTGTCTCACTCGGCCATTCCCTCGTCGGTCTGGCTAGCAGATAGAGGCATGCAGGTCAGGCGGACATGCCCTAGATGTGGAAACAGGGAAGAAGAGACTATTCCCCACCTGATCTGGGATTGCCCGGCCTCGAAAAGAATATGGAGATGGTGGGCCGGACATTGGCAAAACTTAGGGTCAGTTTTAGTCTGGGACAGGGAGTGGGCAATCACAGGTCATCTTCCACCGCTGTTCTTTTCGAAAAAGGGATGGGGATACGTGGCCGAAGCTATCAGGTCAGCGGTAATGTGGATCATTTGGGAGGATCGCAATCA